TCGGTAAAATTCCACACCAAACGATTAGATTCTCCAAGCCTATATAATTTAATAATAATAATAACAATTGAAATGATGTAAACTAAGATGCACAGATGTAAACTAATTAATTATTAATATTAAGTTAATATATTTTTAAAATTTAGATATATAGTCATATGAAGAAAGAAACATCAGAATATGTTATATATAACTGCCCAGCGGCGGAACGACGTAGACTTGACTACTTGGTCCCAAATCAAAAAGATAAAATTAAGCCCACAACAATTACGAGATTTATTCATAATCTAGAATTGTTTTAGTTGGATTTTTAGACGCACAATATAGATCTTTTAGGTCGGGGTGCATTCATAGCCCATTATTTAATAAATAAAGAATACAGATTTTCTATGAATTTTGATGTCCATCATAATTTGTCAGTGGTTCCATTAGTAGTAAATAAAAAAGTTTCAACTTGGAAATAATAAATTTCCTGTTGATTAAAATGTTACAGAATAATATATATATTTATATATAAATATAATACATACATAATAATATATATATATAACATATATATACATAATAATATATATATGTACCTGAGTTGTTGTAACTTAAGATGATTTTAAAAGGTTAGGAGAAGAATCTTAAAAATCAAACGGTGGTATAAAAGAAAAATTGTTGAGCTGAGGGCAGATTCAGATTAAGGAATATTGTTACAATTATTTAACAATAATTTAATTTTTAATAAACTTCCGGAATGCAAAAAATAAAAAAAAAATATATTTTTAATAAGTGTACATTTAATATAAATGGGATCAATTCGAAGTTAATCATTAGAAATATGACATGCTAATATGAAATAAACGAAATTAGATCAGTTTCTACCAAGAAACTAGAACTTAGGTATGTGTCGTTTATTCACCTTTGCAGTAATTTAAACAAGTTACAAGATTTTAAGAAACTATTGCTTATATTCGTGCGGTAGGCACCATCTACCACTTATTCGAAGAATATATGTTTACAGAGCAACAACAATTTTTTAAGGCTATAATATAGTAATTTTATCAACATTGACGCGAACTCTAACTTCCAGAGACTTTTCAGAATTCTCATGTTAAATAATTTAAAATCTAACAAAATAAAATAAGTAAATTGACACTAAAAATTAATTAAAAATTAAAATTTTAATTTTATTTGAATCGAATTAAATTGTTAAATTAATTAAATTTTAGATCTAAGTTAAAAAAAAACTTACCATGCTGAGTGCGGTTTTGATTGTACATTCCGCACTTGTCCATTAACAGGTACGGACAGTGTTACATTCAAAAGTGGCGATGCGCTGGCCATGGCATGGTTATTATATTTATAATCAATTTTTAAGGCAGTAAAGGTGGGTTCACATTTCCAATAGCTTACGAGTTGAAATGGACATGAGGAAGCACCAGGCTTAGTACGCACTTGATACTTTAAAATGTCCACATTAAAATAGGACGCAGTTGGATTGTGTTCAGCTTGACGTCTGAGCAATGCAGTCAGTGCTGGCATATTAAACTCCAACATTGTACTATAAGAACTTGACAGGTTTTTGTCACTAAAATAAATAATTATTTATAAATAAATTATTAGCAAATAAAGTAATACAAAACTAACATTTGAACTAATTTGCCATTTGGAATGAAATTTTCCAAATGTTGCACATTTTTCATACGAAATCCCAATTTGGCTGGATTGGGATTATTCGCTAGATGACCGGCAATACCAGCAGGGAATGATAGCATCATATCACCGGATATTTTAACTTGACAACGTGATTCATCGCTGCCACTGTTTAAAAAAATAAATGATCGTGTTTTTTAATTTTAAAATAAAAATTTATATGTTAATTAATTATTAAGTACTTACCGAAAATAAGCATGTATAATCTCATGGAATGCAACAGCCAAAGGTATGGTATCTGTAATGCCAATTGTAAGTGGTGAAGGACCGCGAGATGACCCAATGCCTCCAATAGCTGTACGAAACTCTAAGCTACCAATACTATCGGCACGATTCATAGGTGATGGACTAATACGCCCACGAGCACCTCCAACACCACCCGTAACACCACCTGATGTTACCATCTCTGAACGTCTTGATGGTGGACGGGGTATAGCAATGTTACTGGCTGATGTTGGGGTTGGTATTTGTCGCGCCGTTGATTTTGAAAGCGTAGCAGAAGCTGGCGCTGAGGCACTTACATCGCCCAATTCAGAAAATATATCACCCAGGTCAGCATATCTTTAAAATTGTATGAATAAAAATGTTGAAGAATTATTCATTATTTGTATTCTAAGAAACTATTTTAATAACTATTTCAATACAAAATTAATATAATTTATATCTTTATATCCATTTTTACCAATGAATAGGAATAAAATAAATTATTTTATCTAAAATAAAATAATTTTTTTTATCTAAAATAAAATAATTTATTTTATGTAAAATGAAATAATCTATTTTATCTAAAATAAAATAATCTATTTTATCTAAAATAAAATAATCTATTTTATCTAAAATAAAATAATCTATTTTATCTAAAATAAAATAATCTATTTTATCTAAAAATAAATAATTTATATTATCTAAAAAGAAATAATTTATTTTATCTAAAATAATCTAAAATGAAATAATCGATTTTATCTAAAATACAATAATCGATTTTATCTAAAATAAAAATATATATTTTATCTAAAATAAAATTATATATTTTATCTGAAATAAAATACTATATTTTATCTAAAATAAAATAATATATTTTATCTAAAATAAAATAATACATTTTATCTAAAATAAAATAATATATTTTATCTAAAATAAAATAATATATTTTATCTAAAATAAAATAATATATTTTATCTAAAATAAAATATCTTTATATCCTTTCATGTCAATGAATAGGAATAAAATAATATCAACAAACCATAACTCTCAATATAAACACAAAATATTACAGTAGCTTTATAAAATACTTACTTTGAATTATGCGACATTGACAAAGTTGGACTTTGCAAAGGTGCGTAAGGATGCACTGTGGCTGTTGGTGTAGAGGCATTCGATATCATTTCTGGCGATTGTTGACGTGACGCGACACGTGAATGTTGCAGTTGCTGACTATGCTGTTTATTTAAAATTAAAATAATAATATAAATTATTATAAATTAAATTCTTAAAAAAAATATATATATAATTTTTATAACTCATTCTTTGCTTACCGAAAACACACCAGTTGGTGATAGCGATATATTCTCAACCGTCGCACGTAGCTCATCAACACTTGCTGACATTGGCGCCTGACCATTGTTTAGTGGTTTGATTTTCACATGTATACGACGATCACGTTTATCGTTATCTGAATCTGAGTCTGAATCAGAGTAGAAACTACCAGCTACAATGGAAAAACAAGGGAATATATATCAATTCACTTAAATCTGATTTTCTTACCATTATCGTGATTCTCTTCCCAAGCAATTTCTTTTGGCGGTTGCATGCTATATCCATCTTCATCCACCTCATTGGCACCATAGGAGTTTCCACTTGCAGATGTTCCAGCGGCACCATTTACTCCATTACCACTATTATTTGCAGCACTGTTAGAGTTTATTGCTGAAGTAGCATTCAAAGCAGTTAAACCACCAATACCATTGCCACCAGTTGAATCCACACTACCAGGTGCTGAAGCAGATGATACACCCAAACCTCCAGCACTGCTACCACTAGAATTTTGAGTTTTCATTTTGCCATGTTCTTCATGATCCAAAGAATTATTAGCACGATCAACGCTATTTATTCGAAGAAAAATATTATATAAAGTGTTTATTTCACAACAATTGATTTAATCGGGATGAAAATTTCGAAAAATGTGTTGAACGGAAAAAAATGTTTTTAGCATAATCATGCAGCATTTTCTAGGTAGAAATGACTACTATCCACTTCGGAATTAAATCGATTCTTCATAAAAAAATATTTGGTACGAATATTTTAGTTTTTAGTGGCAGAAAAAAGGTTATTATGTCCCTAGCTGGTGCTTTCATAACTCAAACTTTATCGAAATGTCATAAATCGTTGTATGCACAGCCATCTCTGATTTATTCAATGGTTAACCTGCTATGGGTTCCGGGTTATAGAAATATAAATGCCAACTGTATGTAGGTCAAAGTTGATTTCCATTAATATCAATCTTGGTAGATATCGTTAGCTTTATTTACTTTGACGGCATAAAGTACTCTGAATAGAGAAAATATAAAGAGCCATATAAATGACCCACCTACAAGCTGACTGTATAAGAAAACCAAACGAATAGGAAAAGGAACATTTCATAAGAAGCGATCTTGAGTAATGTAGCACTCATTCACTATCAACATGAATTTTGTCACAGATCCAACTTTAAACCTAATCTAACCTAATTCTTAGGTCTTCTTCATCACACTATTGCAATGTATTTTTCGTACTTTCAAAAATAATAGTTAGACATGCCAACAAGATAGCAGCTTCTTTAAATAACAAGTGCAACTCATATGGTATGTCTATCTGTTCATTCTATGTTCTTCAGTCCTCATTTGTCTTTCGGTATTTCCAAACGTATGCATAAAAAATATTTTCCGTTTTAATGAAATGGCCCAGTGGTTTCTCGGGCTGGAATTGGGCTATCTTCAACTAAAGTTTTTTACATCAATTAGCATGCCTTGAAACTATCTATGAAATTCAAGTATCCGTACTTCTTAAAGTCTGGAGTAGTCCATGCTTCATTGATCATTTTTCACCCACACTAACATATTTTTATTCATATAATCTCTTGCGTTTTATCTTATATTTCTTTTAAACTTATACAATTTATGAATACATACCTTGCCAGACGTTCCTCTTGTATATTTTCAGCAGCCTCGCCATCTTTCTTTTTTTTAGACTTTTTCGTTTTCGTTTTATCTCGCCGACTACGTAAAATCCCAGACACTGAAAGTATTAATTTTTTAGATAAATTAATGGACTTTGTCAAAAATATCTATTGTGCAGATGCATTGTTAGTTTTTTGTTTTAGGTACAATGAATTGGCGCTTTGATGGATGAGGTACAGAGTTTTATGAATTTTAGTATATATTAAACAGTTCCAGTTATATATGTATATATTATATATGATAAAATAGATGTGCAATTAAATGATTATATGAAACATGCTGCAAAAGTTTTTAATGTACAATATTCTAGTATGAAAAACATATTTTTTTAAAATATATGTAACAATCGATACACCACCGAAATTGAACAGAGTAAGGAGAAAAGAAAAAGTTCCGTGGACATGCAAAAAGAATTCTTAGAGATTTGTAGACTTTGTGGAGTTTTTGGAAAATATAAAATTAAAATGAATAAACCTGAAAAGTAAAACAGATAAGTTTGGTAAAATATAAGCTTAAATACACTTTTGGTGCAATTTTAAAACATTTATCGCATTTAAAAAAACATTCCATCCTAAAACCTAGCCAACACCAATAAAATTGTTTGCTTTTATTATAAACAATTATTAAAAAAAAAATTTATATATATAAGTAATGTGAACAAAAGGATTTCACTTGTTGCAATTTGAAGTTTGAAGTACCACCAAAGCGTTTCGTTTTAGTGTGTGGTGTATTCATACCCTGAGAGTTTGATGTGAATATATTAAGGAGCGATGTTGTACGTCTTGAGTTTCCTGCCTGAGACGTTGGATGCTGTTGTGCTTGATGATTAGTGCGTTCACCTAACGACACCGAAAACTGTTCAGTCGCTTTTTGTCCTTTACTAGTCGTATTAGTTGTGGGAGTGGATGAACTACTATGTTGATGACCTGTGATATGTAATACCTCTTGCTGTTGCTGTAATTGTCGTTCATCTATTTTTGTTTTTCATTTTACCAAAGTTTGTTAAGAATTAAAGGAGAAAGGAGTTATGAGTTAATAAAATTTATGCAGTTCTTTTGTAAAAATTAAAGAAAAAAACACAAATATTTGTATGTTATCTATGGAGTTCTCTAATTGTTAAGATATTGTTAGTGTGCTGCTAGCTACAGTGTGTAAAAGATAGAAACTGTGGGATATTATGGTCATAGATCTACAATTTAGTATTATGAAATTGTTATTATAATAAAAAAGATATTTAGCAATAATGAATTTATTTAATGTTAGTAACATGGACTCTACGCTCGTCCGCTAACAATTTATTTTTTATTATTGATTTATAGATAATTTTTTATCTATAATTATTTTATTCCTCAATATGCAAGTAAAACGGAATTACTAACTCATTCCATAACAACTTTAGCTAAAAATAGTAAAAAGAGAATAGACATTCTGTTAAGTTGAACATAGAGTAATAAAATTTCGCTGATGGCCGTTTTTACAGGTCATCGTTTAATAGACACTAGATTATGTTTGCACTCGTTTGCACATAGAACATATCTATTAACAGAATAGAATTAAGTCGACCTAAAAAAACTTTTTTGGATATCCTTCTCGTCTCTGTATAAACAAAGCTAATGCTTTATTAGCACAATATTATTTAAGCTCAAGCGGGCTTTCGCTTTCACTGTAACTAATCCTAACCTAATTAAACTATTAATGTTTCTTACTAGAACTATTTGAAAGGGAGAGATAAAGCACTCAATACCAATCCAGTATTGGATTTACCTTTACTTTAGATATTAAATATATGTTATTAAAATTATTATTATGTTGAGGATAGTTCAGTCAGTGCACTTGAGCACTTTTACTCTCTATTAACTGCGAGGTTTCTTCGTAACCCCTCTCTACGCCTTGACTGAATTATTATTTATCACTTCATCAGGCTAAGCAATAATTGACCTCAGGTCTGCATACATTCCCGAGGACTGCAACCATTCTGAGATTAGGTTAACAATCATGTAAGAATTGAAGTAGTAGTAATACTGGATTGCTTTACCCTCTCTTTAGATATTAACTATATGTTATTAAAATTATGTTAACAATCATGTAAGAATTGAAGTAGTTAACAAGCTTCAAGCAAGATTAAACGTCCAATATATAAATGTTCAAGTAAAAGTGTTAATATACTCTTACAGAACTCTTCATTTTGAAGTATTAATTTATATACGATTTAAAATCATTTAAAGTATCCAAATATAGTCGGACACTAATCTATTCTAATCTAAGTTACATCAAATAAAATGGAAATAAAAAAATGGTAAGTACATTTGAAGTCATAATATTAATTATATAAATTAGTAACAAATGTTAAAGCTGTGAAAAATTATCAATGAGAGTACGTGACTATACATTTATTTCAGTTAGAAGTAATTTCTTGTCGTTCATGTAATCCTATTGATTTCAGAAAACCAAGTAAATAGAATATACATACATATAAGAAATGCAATACAAATAGAGAAACATGTTTAAGAAGCGTTACCAAAAATTTTGGATTCAGTGATAAAAGATGAAGTGCAAAGAAAGAGTTGGAACAACGTAGAGCTTATTATATGGAACTTGAAACAAGTACTAGAATAGCAGAAGACCACATTATGTGGAACTGTAATTGGAGTATACATCAGAAATATAACTTGAACATGCATTAGACAAATCAATTAATAGGGGATATTATGTGGTATGAAACTAAAATTTTGGCAGCTAAAACCTGGGAGAAGACAAACCAACAGATAGAAGTTGATTAATAACTGATTGCAGTTTTTACGAGGATCCAATGGTTGTAGTTTTATACCGATGAATCGTATAACAATGTCAGTAACTTACACTTATTGATATCTCATAGCAATACAAAAGTGCTTTTTTAAAATGATAATTATAAGAACATAATTTAAGTTGTTTCATCGATAGTTTTACTTGAATTACCCAAGAGTATGAATCGATGACAAAAAACTATTGCGTAAATTACAATTAAAATCGAATGTTAAATTAGTTCTACAAACATTCAAGAATATATTTGTAATATGTAATTATCTTTTATATCGTCTATGTACACGATATAATCATTTTTATCATTTCTGCTCAGTTATACAAAGATACAAATAGACATATAAGTAAAATTTATACTGTCTTTAATGTTTTATATCAATGTGGATAATAAAATGATACCATATATTTTTGATGGTTAAATATTATATATGTTTCAAACAGAATGAAACAGGTTAGGTTAGGTTATATCGACGATCCCTATGGGATCCACTTAGCCCTATTGTGTTACCGTGTATACAGATAAACTCAGGGTTTAAAACCACCTAGAACTTTAATGAAGCCAGAATGCTGTTTAGTGAGAGGTTTTGTGATTGATCAAGATTTTCAAAAAAGGGGGTTTTGAGTCACCACTGTTCATGAGCTGGGCAAAGACAAAGTATATGAGAGACACTCTCATCGTCTTTCCCACAGCTGCGACAGGTATGATTGAAAGAGAGATTCAATATTCTAGCATGGTTCCCTAGTTTGCAATGACCTATAAGTTTACCTATCACAAGACTGATATCTCTACTGGGCATCTCAATGAAAATATTGGATTTTCTTTTAGTAGAAAGTCGCCAGATTGCATACAGATGCCTATATATCGTTGAGTCTTCCCATCTTTTGTTAACATAATGAAATAAAAAGCCACAAAAAATAATATAAGAACAAAATAATGAAAAGTAGTATTACAATTATATGTGTCCACCAAAACAGAATATGCAATATGTTAAGATTTGATCTCACAAAATATTATTTTTCTTTTAATAATGAGAAATATATCTTTTATTTTTTCATCTACGGGCTTTACTCACGAAAAATCCGAACAATAATATCTTTTCACAGATATGATTTAAAAGACATAAAATACAAAATAAAAAAAATATGATACAGTTTTAAATAAAATAATTAAATAAAAAATAAAAATACACAAATTAAAGAACATCAATGGGTTATGGTATGTACAACAAAATGAGAGAATTAGTAAAAATAATAACAAATTTCCTCATAAGATAAAGTACCTTATCAAACATATTTACATATGCTACAAAAGCTTATTAGCTTATTTATAAGTAAATTATTTTTTGTTATTAAGATGAGTAGTATTGCAAAAGTCCATGGATCTTTCTTCTTCAATATCACTAGTTTATCCCAGGTAAACACTAGATTACTCGTTACAATACATTATCTTGTTCACAGTCACTAATAGTTATTATATATATTTTTCCAAGTTCATATTAACCTAATAACTTTTTAAGCAATCCAAAAAATAAATACTATACAAACTAACTAAAATATAAAATAAATAATTTTTAAACAATAAAAAGAAAATAACAAATGATGTCATCAAACAAAAAAAAAATAAATAAAATAAAATGAATTTATGAATAAAATGAAAAATTATAAAACACTCAAATAAAATAAATAAATAATAATAATGATAAGATAATAAAATAAAGAAACAAAAAAACCTACTTGGTATAGAGGAAGAATTGGATGATGTGGTAGTAGTAGTAGTAGTAGTAGTAGTGGTTGTGGTGGTAATAGTAGTAGTATTACAAATATTTGTGGAATTGGTACATTGTTCAGAAAATTGTGTTAAAGCAGACGACATAAATGAACCTTGATTATTATTGTCCTGCAGTGACTGAAGCTCTGAATTAAACGAATTTTTGGTGATGGCTGTGCCGGTGGAAGAACCATTGCTATCCATACCGAAATTTCCGCTTGTTGATGGTGGTGTTGTTGTTGTTGTTGGAGCTGTACTTGGTTTAAACCAATTACGGAAATTGCTCTTAACGGATGAACTAGCAGTTGTTGTTATATTTGGTGATTGTGATGTTTGCGTTTGAACCAGTTCGGGAGAAGTCGGTCTTGGTGACGTTAAAGCACCTAGAATGTTGTCGTCAGTATTTATAAGGCTACCACTTCCGCTGCCGCTACCAATTGAAACAACTTCGCCGCCGCGTTGATCCAATGTTACATTACCAAGTGCAGCACGTGCTATGGCACCTTGTATGCTAGTCGCTGAATTTGAATTTGCAGCTGAAGATATTGAAGTGCCTGCAGCTAGTGGTTGATTAAGACGTATCGAAGAAGATGATTGATGCTGGATTATCGAAAGTGTTATAAATTCTATTTCAGGCATTTCTAAGAAAAAATAAATAAATAAATTATTATAATCTTCATTAGTGTATACTTGATATATTATGAAGTTTAATAAGTAAGGATATTATATATATAATTACTTTAAATTATAAAGAAAAGATTCCAATATGAATTTATGAATAGCTCGTGGTTATCAGTTTTACAAATGACAACCAGGCCTTTTTCTTTTCAATTCACTTCTTTTTATGTTGGTGATTTGAATAGTAAATCACTTTTTCCTTTTATCATATGCTATGAATCATTGGAAAATGTCTTTTTTCATGATTCATCAATGTTTTTAAAATTCTATTTGTAGAAAATAATTTATTTGGAAGTTTTTAGGTCTTGTAAGAATTGATTTTTATTTCGAATAAAAAGGGAGTAATATTGTGATGACTTTTATATTCAAAAATTTAGTAAAAAAATTTTTCTATATATATAAAATATTTATATTTTATATATTTATTGTGCAAAAGCTTATTGGTATAAAAATTATTAAATATAATTTCAATTAAAACAAAAACACACTTAGGTTTACAGTTATTTATCAAATAAATTCAAATGCTCGATATTTACAAAGTTCGTGAAATATTTTCACGAACTTTGTTTAATCTGTATGAATTTGTTTCCGAATAAGCGGACAAATAATTCTCGAAGCATCCAGCATATAAATTTATTTAATATATAATTTTTTTAATATATAATATATTTAATATGTAATATCTTTAATATATAATATTAATTATATATGTAAATATATTTTTTTTTACAATTTAAATCATATTTAATAAATGCGGTTATTTTTGTTTTTTAAAATATACTAACTTTTATAAAAGTTAGTATACTTTAAAACACAAAAATAACCGCATTTAAACAATTAGGAAGTAACAACTCAAAAATTAAAACAAAAATACATATTTAATAATTTTTATACTAATTGTTACTCTTTGAATAATGGATATATTCAAAAATCTAAATATTTATAATGAAGTACATTTTTAAACTGTTTTATTTTTTTATAATAGAATGAAGTAGCCTCTGCTTATTTATTAATAGTATCAATAGTTTTTTATATACTATAAGATATATTAATAATTAAATATTACGTTTTTGAAGGTTGAATTTTTTTTCTCCTTATGACAAAAAGAAAACTAGAAGGGTTCGAAACAGTTGTAAAGAGGCAACAACAAAAATTTGATTAATTTATTGAATTTTGGCTGACCATACAACGCTGTTTCGAGTATTGCCAAGTACTCTTCATCAGTCATTTTAGGAAATATTTGAATTTTTATTGAATTACTTTATAGTCCGTATATAATTTGTTGGACTGCAAGTGCCAGACTTAGAACTCGAGCCTGTCAAATAAGAAATGATGACTAATCGTGTTTTTTCACAAGTAGCCAAGGCTGCACAAACATTCAATACTCAAGTTCCAAGTTTTTTTTTTCACTTAATTTGTGAATGACAATAATCAAAGCAGTTGCCAAGCCTTTTAAATTAGAACGAGCTTATAAATTACAGCTTTATTTGAAAGCACAAGTTCAACGAATTGAAAGTTATTTTTGTAGTCACCTCCTGTTGCAATAACCCATATAAAAATTAATTATTACGAACCTGGTTTTTCTAGACCAGTGTATTTGTTCAACACAAACTGTTCAAGCAATTTATCAACAGTCATATCCAAAAATTGACGTTTGAAATCGGAATGGACCTATAAAAAAGTGATATCATAAATTTTAAATTGTTTACACACACTATATATCTTTGCACAAACTTACCTGGCCAACCATGTCATGATTATTCTGTAGCAATTCTAAATAAGTTGATAGGAATTCTCTCATTTGACGTAAATGTCCTTCCTCAATTTCTTGGAATCGCTTTAATATAAAATATAAATTAATTATGTACATAAATATAAATAATAAATAAAATCAAAATATCAATAATATATGAAATTAACATACTTTACACGCTTGCGTCATACGTCTCTCGAATTCAGCTTTAATAGGACCATGCTTATCTAGCAAAGTCTTATAGTCTTCCTGCAGTTTCTTGATTTTTGTTTCTAGTTTTTCAATATCTTTTTGTGACGCGTTATCTTTACGCAATTTTTCAAGTTCTGCTACTTTTGCCATATATAAATCTCTAGCTTTTTGTAATGCTGCTGTAGAGGTTTGCATGGCTTGTACAGCTTCAAGCGTCGGAGACTCCTCTTCTTTAACATTCTTGTGCTTTTTATGCAGTTCATCTGCATACTTGGTAACATCTTTAATTAGTTCAGTTATCTTTTGTACCATCTGCAGATGCAATGCTGTTAATTTCTCTGCAGATGTACGCAATATTGTCCATATAGGTGCAAAGGTACTATTTAACGTTCCGGTACTTGCTTTATGAACTAACTTAGACATAAGCCTCGAGTTTTGTTCTTCAATGTTTGCTTTTTCACGAAAGAAGTCTAAAAGTTCTTTAGTAGCCAATGATCCGAATTTCATGTTGTGATAAAGAACGTCGAATCCATTGTTCTTATCACCCTATAAAAGTTGTATGCATTAGAAATTTGTTTTATATAAAATATTTAAATTATATTTAAGGGTATATTGGTTTTGACATAGAACCACAGTTTGTAAGATGAAGAAGTACAATTTGTATAGTGCTTTACTATCGTTCTTTAGTGACTTGTTGAATTAGCCAATGGGGCCCTAAGTTGACCCTTAGAATCGGGTTAAATCAATTCCTAACCTATAGATATATTGAGTATTTTTTAGTTTTAATTATAATAATAATAATAATTTTTGGTTTTTTGTTTTGATTGTATGTTTATATGTTTATTTACATATAATTAAATATGTAATCTTTTATATACACTGAAGATGGTCTACAAAGTAGACCGAAATATTTGTAATAATATAATTTTTGTATAAAAATTAAATAAATTTAAACATTTAACACAGTTGGAAAAAAAGTGTAAAAAAAATTTTTTTAATTGTTTTAAAAAAACATTTTTATAAACCTATGTGTTAAATAAACGACCTAAGCCCGGTAAATATATATAAAAAACTAATTATAATAAATGTTATTATTGTTTTATTAATCATCGTTAATAAAACATCGTTTTTGTAGAACTTTACTTGATTTGCAATATTTATGAACGGTGCGATTATGACGAGAAATATGAAGAGTACTTGAAGCTTAATTTTACGATCAATAAAATACTTGATTATAATTCTCATACATTTTAGTTTGCTTCAAAAAATACAAATTAAATTATAGCTTTATAGAATAAGGAATATTTTAAAAATTAAAATTTAATAGGGACTTTGACTTAGAGAAATAGAAAAAAAGATAGATTAAATTAATTCCTTTTAAGTTTTAGAAATTATACAAAAATATTACTTAAAAGTATGTCAATCCGCTTACCATATTTTGTTTAAATTTTTTTTTATTTGCGTACTAACCTACATTACTTTATATAAGACAACACAATACAAAGTAAAGATAGATAGATATGTGAAATAGACTTACGATGCCCTTAATTCAGAAAATAAAAACAAAATTTCAAATTTTCTCTTAAAAATGAATATAAATTACTTACAAATTTCCTAAGTAGTATTGCGATAGGACTGGCAGTTCTATACGGTTAAGAGAACTGCCTATTTACAAAATCATATTTCGTATAAAATATTAGAGAGATGTAAGATTATTATAGTGTTTATTTAGCAGAGCTTTGGCGAGACCACTATTATTTATTTTCTAGTTAAAAAAATTCGTAAATATAATTTTATTTAATTTCTTACTAGTTCTGATTATGGAGGCTCCTAAATATAAAATTTTTAATTACATAGCAGAAATCAATTTATACGTGATGCAAGTCCCGATATCAGATTTCACAAGTTTTCTACCTTTACATTCCCTTCTGCTGAACATTTAAAAAATCTGGGCATACTACTAGCATCAAATAATTATGCTAGTAGCATAATTTCCTAATAATAACAATTCAAAATAAGATGGAAAGCATACAGATACAATCCATATACCTATAATAATTTATATAGGTAAGTATAAGTGTAATTTTCTTGACGACTCACTATCAACCCTATTATTGATAACCCTGTGAAAGAGAATAAATATCCTGTTCTATTACTTTTACTGTAGTTGTGTGAAAGATAAGGAAACTGCTTCATACGAGCTTTATAATTGTCCGATGTATGTGCAAGGATGTTCAATTGCTAATTTTAGAATTAATAATACATTCTAGACATATTCTTTTTACAAGCCCTTTCTGAAAAAATATTAACCTTTACTAAAGGCTCGTGATTTTTTTATACGGTAATACAATATACCAACGGACCTAAGTGGATATATAGAATTACTGTAATAACTTAAACTTAGTGGAAGGGAAGACTTTTGGCAGATACTTTATTAATAGATTTGTAATTTTTTAATTTAATCTAATCTAATCTGTTGGGTCTACCATAACATAATAAGAAAGTAAAAACTGCAGTTTTAATGCTCCAGTCATAAGTTATCATTATGTGCATAACACGAAAGTTTGGTATAATTTTTTTATTGATTTATACACAGTCAAACTTCCATAACTCAAACTTATATAACTCGAATTTTCTATAACTCGAACCAAAAACAGTGCACCAAAGTTTTAGAGAGCAAAATACATGCAATTCTGCTTCCATAACTCGAATTTCTCTATAACTCGAACAAAAATTTTGTTCCGTGCCGATAGGAATATGCGAAAGTGCATTCTATAAGTCGAGTTTTTGTTTTAATTATAAATGCATTTTGCTGTTAGGGTAGGTCCCTTTTTCCAAACCGAATGTTTAATTTTTTGTCAGTCGTTGGCAACGTGGTTTAAACTAAATAAAATAAATTTAAATGCTACTCTTAACGATTATATTGAGCTTGACAATAAAATTTGTATATCAAGCTTTCCTACAGATGACGATATTATTGAGCACTATAGCTCTAAATTACTGGATCCAATTCTAAGCGCAGCGGAAAGTAATGATGAGGGTTCGATGGGTGTAACTGTTCATCAGCCTTCCAAGAATGAAGTAGAAGACTCATTTAATATTCTGAATTTATATTTGCAAACTGACGATAGTGCAACTGACGATAACTATATATAAGAGTACGAAGAAAGTAGAATCTAAAAAATTCCAAACCCTAATTTCTAAATATTTTACTTTACTATAACTTCTGTATTTTATTTGATTGAAAATAAATAAATATCTTAAAATATAATTCTAGTTTCTTTCAAAAATAAAAAAATATAAAAAAATTCTCTAACTCGAAGTCTCCATAAGTCGAACCTTTTCTTTGCAAAATTGGACTTCAAGTTATGGAAGTTTGACTGTATATATACACGGTTCCATATTTTACATTATGTTTTCTTCTTTCATCTATTTCATTTTTTTCATGCCCTTCAATTATCTAGAGTTTTTTTAAAATATTCATAGATGTACTTACCCAAAAATAATCAATAAATTCGACCGTCATTGTGTTGTTTTAAAATTAAACCGTAAGTGTATAAAAAAATAATTTGAAAACAAACTATAATATATCCTTAATAAGTATTTTTTAATAATTGACAATGTTATAGTCGTTTTTAATTAATTTATAATTAATTTTTTTATATTTAATTTATTTTTCAGTTAACTTTTTGAGCACCACTGGGACGTTCATCTTCGTTTAACATCAGTTTAATAGACCATTGAAAAAGTGATATCATCGGGACGAATTTAATCTGAAAAGAAATTATTTAGTAATATCAAATACGTCAATAACATAAAAGAAAAATAAATAAAACAACATAATAATAAAAATAACAAAAGTGATTTCATATTATTTCAGGATTATAAGATGATTTCAATTTGCATTTTCCTGTAACAAGACATTTATCGACAATCCATAGCTATCTTTATATATTTATTTCCAAATATCTATTTATGGAATTCATAACTTAAATACAATATATAAAATTTTTGTACATAATACACGACGAATTTTCACCGCTTGCAAGCACACGACGAACCAACTAGGTCTCCTCAAATGAGATAGAACTCCCCAGTTGCAATAACTTCAAAATTGTGGTATTGCTATCGCTAAACTCAATTCTTCATATTGACATGATTTATCCAGGGATTTTTTTTTTGTTAGGGTCATTTTTCCATGATAGCGTTTTACTGGTCACAAGAAACAACTTACTATATTACTTTTACTATGAAACTAATTGCTTTAATCTTACGACATAAAGCAATTCATATGACTAATACTGATCACTTTATAAACATGAAGATTTTCAACTCATTATAAATTATTTTTTCTTAACCTTTGTGTAGACACATACTCGATTAAGGAAAACTACTAGCTAGTATATAAGATTCCTGTAACGGTGATTACTATTGAATCTTAATCCGTTTAATCGATTAAATTATAATTATAAAAATATAAAACTCTGATGCATAGCTGCAAGAAATTACTTTGTGGCTTTAAGGTGTGTATCGAAAATACTCCAAGTGTCACTCATCACATCCGTTAGACTCTTTCGGAGCTGGCGTCATTTTGAATTATAAACCCATTATATTATGGGTTTAGATTTTGACACCCATAATATGGTTTCAAAATATGGAAACACACAATATGGTTTTTTCAATAATTACAATGTTGTCTGCTCCCCACTGAGATGATACTGCACCTAAAATTTTATATCTTGATATCAATACCAAATTCCAACGTTCACCTTCATTTTCTAATGTTAACATTCCTTTAACATAGTATACCGTTTACAGGTTTTCTGAAGCTGTTAAGACCCCCACCGCAGTTTACAATAAAAATTGACACTACAACTACTACTAAACATAAAAGATATTGAACTAATCAAATTAATAATTAGATATAAAAATTTCATCAGTTTAAAATACTCTCCCAGCAATTTTATCCTCTCTATTATCATTATCATCCATACCTATACAGTCTATATAGGACCTAGCTTGTTTTACGACATTTCTTCATTCTTTTCTATTTTTCGCTTTTATCTTCCAGCTGGTGACATTCATATCTCTCAGATATTGTCGGACACTGTCACTCCATCTCTTTCTCGATCTTCCTCTTCCTCTCGCAAACACATTCTCTGTGAATGGAGCAAAGTTCTTCAGAGAACTGCCTCACATAACATATAGAACAAAACAAAACCATCATATTTCATACACAATAATAAAAAAAGCAAACTAACTAAATATATTGTTCGAATTTACTTTCTCATGCTAAATACTATCGTTTAATAAAACTTCAAACAGTTCGTAAATAAAAAATATTTATTAAGTAATAATATGATTTCCTTAAAAATAATAATTATGAAGATTATGTATTTGTTAAATATGAATGTTTTGTTAAATTTATTAATTACTACTTTATTGAGATTTTACGAATTTGATTCTTTCTGTTTCTCCAACTCCGCAATTTCCGCTTCAGCCTTCTCTTTAATTGCCCGTACAAGTATTGTGCAGCAATCTTTAATTGCATGATATATAATATTCTTAATCTGTAATTTATCTTCATGGTTAGTATGTGAGTGAGAGAGACGACGGAACTCGTGTGTTAAGTGATAGCAATGTGTTATATTTTCTGGAGAAACGAAATCTTCAGCTACTTTTATGCAATTGTGCAAATTTTGCACTTGATGCGGAGCACCTGCTGGTATAAAAACTGCATCACCTAAGCATTGAACAATTGGATAGCCTTCTACACCATATTCCTTAAGAAGACGCATTCTCAACTCGTCATCAAGATACCAATTCTGATCATGTATTGGGTCGTGATCTGGTTCCAAACGAAAACCTCTTTCAAGCGTAACACGATTCAATAAATCACGTATTTTATCCGCATCACGTGCGGGAAATATATGCCACAAAGCACCAGGCATAACGTCAGGAGATTGTAATCGTACTCTTGTTAAAAAATCAGCACCACTCAATGAAATGGCAATGGAAGTAGCTTTAAGTTGTGGTGCGCTATCTGTGTCTGCAGGTATACCAACATATACCATAATATTTACGGCATCCGATATATCGAGATGTAAATTTGTGGTACCCTTGTCAGGATGTAGTGCTGAACCATAGGCATTATACATTTTTGGACCCAAATCGGGGGGTACAAACATTTTGGGCAAACAACTAGCAATATTCAAATTACCAGTTCGTAATGTGTATTCCGGCATGGGTAAACCTTTCATTAAATCACCATATCGCGTAGGTAATATTTCAGCAAAATCATCACCAGGCGGCCAATCTTTTAACTTGAGCAACATTGGTTTACCATGAGAATCTAGTAGACGTTTATTGATAAATTGGAAACCTTCCCAAAAATGACGCATAGGTTGATTTGGTACTAAATTACCATTGAGACAGTTTATTAGATCATTTGGTTTATCGCCAAAATCTCTACAAAAAGCTTCAGGTTTCCAAAGATTTAAATTTAAAGAATTGGCTACTTCAGATATCATTACCGGTTGTCCACATTTCCATACTTCTTGAAACAGTATACGGTTGTCTGGATGCATAGCGTTAGTTAATCTTAATAGTTTTCCATCGCATAGCCATTCATGTGGTACACCGCGTGCCAAAGGCATTGTATGTGCCAATGTCATAGCTTGCGGTGGTAAGAATCGTCTTTTACCAGCCAAACCATCGCGTAAGAAATTAATTTTTTTGAATTTGTCAAAAGCTGTTGTAATTGCATCTTTGCCCAAAGTTTTTTTTGTCCAAACTCGTCCTGGAACGTAATCGATACCTGCAGCACGTGCAAACTCCAGCTTATTGCGATGTAAGTCCTCCATGCGCTCTTGTTGTCGTAAAGTAGCTTCGGTAGCAAGTGATGATGCACTGGTCTGTTGTTTTAACTGTGATTCCTTAATCATATCTTGTATGAAAGCATTAAGTTCTGGATCGGTGACGCGCTGCTTGCTCAATAAACAACCACACAATTGAGGCACTTGCCAAACTGCACGCACCTCATGTAATAAACGTCCAAGTACATTTAATGCATCTCCAGCTATTATTTGTGTAAGCATCAATTCCGAGAGTTTATGAGGTGCTGCACCATTGCATAAGAACCAGTGAAATTCGTCACGACCACGTTGAGGCTTGTCACGCATTTTACGACAAGTGCGCTGTTCCTTACGATCCTTAAAGCAATCTAAACAAACTCCTAAGCCACACTTGTTGCACGTCCAATGATAATTAAATAATGTGGTATCGCAAACATCACATATCTCGCGTATGCCCTGCACTACCTTCTTCCACGCAATGGTGCTGTCGGGATTTTCATGCAACTTTAAAGCTTCAGCTTCCTGACGCCAAAGATAACAGAATTGATCACCGGCGTGTAATAATATATAACGGCACACTTGTATATCCATAACACCAGCTGTTGGAGCTGTATTGTCATCTGGTTGCCAAATGTTAAGATCTTCTTGTGTTGGCTCTGTGTATGGATTTGGAAATCCGGCTACATTAAGCTCCCCATTCGCTGTATATTGTAGACGACGAAATTCATAGAAGCGGCAGTAGACATCGTTTGAACTGGAATTATGCCGACGACATTCCCGACATTTTGTTATAGTGTGTTCAGCGCTGCTCTGAATTTTAAAACAGGGCAAATGTTGTAAAAATGTGGCGCAAGATGTTCGATATTTTTGATCTAAGCACTCTTCTTCTGGAGTTAATTGTTCAATTGGATGCGCGGCATTTTCAAGTTCTATGAAATTGCCTGTATCTTCTGGTACATCCAAAGCTGCTGCAGCTCGTTTGACAATTTTTTTGCAAGCTTTCGATTTATCAGTAGCAGTTCTTTTTTGTGGTCCCTGTGTGACCTTTGCATTACCATTTTTCTGTTTAGCTTCTTTATTTAAGTGATCCATTTTTAAATTGTTATCTGCTAATGAACCAACATTATTCGGGTCTTCATGGTTTATATTTTGAGTACTTTTACAAATAGAATCGTTTGAAAGATGAATTTCAATAATAGATTTTCTCTCGTGCAGTTCATTCAATTCGTTTTGAATTTGCTTTTTTGTTGGAGAATCGAACTCCGACATTTCAGATGCACTCTTAGTTGCGATGGCGAATTGTGGTATATCATCAAAATCATTTAAAATATTGTCCGTTTCAGTTTTTATTTGATTATTTGACAGCAAATGTGAAGATGGAATGAAATGATTTAAAGAGTTTTCTGGGTTATTTGTAAATTGATTAATGGGTTGATCTATGGTTTGAAATGGTTGTTGTTCAAAGTTTGGATATGGAGGCTGATTCGGGTAAGGTTGTGTAGGTTGTATTGGTAATTGCTCAGCAAAAGGAGTTGTCGAAGAATATACTGGAAAATTGTCATAAAATTTTTGTACACAACTTTCTGGGTGTTGTGCCGGGAACTGTGGTGGCTGCGTTGCATACTCTTGTAGTGGTTGCACGGGAAATTGCTGTGGTAAATGTGCAGAAAATTGTTGAGGTTGTTGCTGTAAAGGCTGTTGTATTTCATGATCTGAAAAAATCTGCGGTGACTCTTGAGAATAAGGTTGTGATGGCTGTTTCATAAATGGTTGTGGTAATTGCTCGATAGATTGTTGTGGGACTTGTACTGGAAACTGTTGTGATGGCAGCTGCAGTGGCTCTTGTATTGGTTGCGTCAGTTGTGGGCCCTGTGTTAATTCTGGAGGTTGTACCAATTGTGGTGACTGTGTCAGTTGAGGAGGTTGTAATAATTGTGGAGGTTGTGTTAGTTGTGACAATTGGCCTGTGAAATGTGATTGCTGTTCCGATAAAGACGATGGTTGTTCTTCAGGGTAGTGTTGTAATTTCTGTTGTGGATGATGATTTATAAATTCTTGTGGTAGTTGCTCTGAAAAGGATTGTGGTAGCTGTTGAGAGGATTGTGGTAGTGATTGAACTTGAAAATTATGTGTTTCCTGAGGTAAAGACTGTTGGGATTGTTCTTCCGAAAACGGTTGATTCTGTTCTGGAAGCTGTTGTACCTGCTGTGTAGATTGCTGCAAGCCATTTGGAGACTGTTGTAGTTGCTGTTCTGAAAATTGCTGTATTTGTTGTTCTGTATTTTTTTCCGAAAATAATTCACATAATTCAACTGTTGGTTGGACGTAATTTTGTGCGTGGGTTAGATCAGGCGTATTGTCCGAAGAATAATTTGTGTATCCATCTGTTGATACTACAGGTATTTCATTAAGCATACTCTGTGCAAGTACTCGAATTGCTAATAGATTCTCATTTTTTATCATATCCTGATCATCCAATATGTCTGTACTTTCCATTATAAAATTTATTGAAGTAAATTTCGAATGTGAATTATAATTTCATTTATTGTACTGACATATATATGTAATTCCGCTGAAAAGCTATCCAGTATACAAAAAAGAGGAAAAGAAAAAAATCCATATTACTTCACAATGTGTTAATTATTGTGGTTTAACATCTGTAAACGGGCTGGTGTGAGTATTGAGTACTGAGTTTTCATCATATATAATTTGATGTACTTCATATAGTTAATTCAATTTAACTGCTTACACTTTTTTGTTCCAAATCGCAGTTTTTTTTTAATATTTTCTTACTTTCACAAGAATATCATATTATTTTACTATCTATATATTACACTTTATTAAAAGTAATGTGGATGGAGCAGTGTTGCTCTTTAAAATTAATAAAAAAAATCATTTCAAAAGTCATAAAAAAATCATCATTAGACACCTATAATTAATTTTTATCAATTTTAAAATATACTCAACTACTCACTACCACCAACCACATTACATGTCTTATCCACTAAACTTAGAGTAAAAAATAATTTATATAGTCAAATTATAAATAATTTTTTAACATGTATTATTAATTTGGGGCATACATTAAACCTTCCCAAAAGTTTATTATCCACTTAAATAACAATCTCAAATTCCGAATCTGAAGATCTATAAACACCTGTTGTTATTCTGAGTGATAGTTAATAATAGTTAAAGTTATATTTAAATTTGAGAAATATATTCCAGTTTAAAAATTAAAATTATAGCTATATTGAAATTACAGTTATTGTAAACAGGTATTGTATTGATTGAATCAAATGTTGAAATTGTATCAAATGTTGAAAAGTCAAAGCCTTTTAAAATGAATCTATTTTTAACGATGAATACCACAAGATTTTCAACAAATATCTCTAAAAATGTGATATGAACAAGATATATCTCTACTACACAATGCTAAGACCTACCATGTCCTTGGGAGAACCTGCTTAAGACGAGCACAGAAATGTACATCAGTACTGCAAATATGTCAAAAGTTTGTATTATAAATTTTGAAATCATACACTATTAAACATTGTATAAGCGAAAGTTTTGTTTGAACGAAATACCACCTTTAATAGACGAAATACTTTTGATTACACAGGTGAAAATCCAATGGGATAGGTAAATAACACTTCCATATCATGGACGAATAACTGAAACCATTAGGCGAAATAGCCGTGTATATTTTTATATTTTGTATACGTGTATATAACTTTGTATATTTTTCTTTTAAAAACAATAAGTTTTATAATTTTATTACTAATTACATAATATTTTAATTTTTATTCTAACTATACATTGTGCAAAATAAAATAAAACAAGTACACCTTATATCACGGACCTCACTTAAATCAATGGGTTAAATTACATGGGAGTGAATGTAGTCGTCTGTCTAAGTGAATACTTAAGTACGTTATATTATCTGCTTATGGTATGGGAATGTTATTTAGTAAATTGTTGGAGATGTACTCCGATTTAAGGTAAAAATGACGTGTCTTCCGATTTGTATATTTAACAAAAATATCCTTCAAGTCGTTTAAATGCTAATAAACTGGCTACTTAAGTCTCACAATAAAACAAGAACAAGTAAAATGATTAGAAATCCTATAACATCGACAATTTAACAAATATGAATTGTAATCTTATATTATGAATATTTAATTTTTGTCAGAATCTGACCAAATGCTGTCGTTAAAATGAAAAGTTCCCATTACGCATTCTATGTACTTTTTATATAAAGCCCTAGTCGAAAATATTTACACAACGAACATTTTTGCAACTTTCAATTATGGTATCACTATGTTTTGGATTTTTACCAATAGTTCTTTGCTGTATTATGAAGCCCCAAACATTTTCAACGATATTAAGATTAGGACTCTGTGAAGGCCTTAGAAAAAAGGCATGATTTTACTTTTTAAAATTGGATTAAGTCTACATCCTTTATGACATGGTACATCGTCATATTGTAGAACCCTGTTATTGATTGGAAAGAGTCTACTTTCTGACATTAAGGCATGGTTATTTAAAATACCAATATTTAACTGATTTAAGGTGCCATTTTTCGATACCAAATCACCAAATGCATAGCATGATAGACATCCCCAAAACAAAACCATGCCACCTTCAAATCTATTGAGTGGTTGCATTGTTTTATTCTTTTGACGTTGTCGTAAATCCATGGAATACTTATCAAACGAACCCTAAAATTGAAATCCAGACTCATCTGTCCATAACACATTGTAAAAAACTGTATAGGTTTCTTAGAATATTTCAAATCAAATGAGAGACGATTTGATAGAGTCGTTATTAGAGTAATATTGATTATTTTGTGCACCACGTAGGTATTGATATAAGCATCTTTCAACCTGCGATGTAGTGTAGCATCACTAATAATCTTGCCAATCAACTTTTCTGATGATGCTGCAATTTTGAAAGGACTTATTATAGGATTTTCTACGACTAATACGATTATATTAGTCTACGACTAATATAAAGTCAAACTTCCATAACTCGAACTTCTAGAACTCGAATTTTCTATAACGCGAACTAAAAACAGTGCAACAGGGTTTTAGAAAACAAATTACATACAATACTGCTTCCTTAACTCGAACTTCTATAACTCGAATAAAAATATTGTCACGTGCCAATAGGAATGTGGGAAAATGATTCTATAAGTCGAATTCTTGTATATTGTATGAATTTATAATTCATTCTTATGTTGCTTCTTTGGATAAATGCCAGTGACTGGCAGAGTGGTTTAAAGTAGAGATGGAGAACTATCGATAGTCGGCACCATCGATAGTGAGCGATAATTTTTTTTCTAAACCATCGATTACTATCGATAGTTTTCATTAGTATGTTAGTTTTAATACAAATGTCTGTTCAATTCAAAAAATCATGTATTTATTTTAAATTTCAACTAAAAATATGACAAATTTCATTGAATTTTTGAAGATAATATTTTCCATAAATAAAATAAAACAAAAATCATAAATTTTATCTGTTTTTTTCCACAATATTACTATTTTGGTAACTAAAGATTTTTGTTTAAAAATAACATCATATAAAGTCGAGCCCGGCGTTCTAAAACTATTTGTCCAACTTCACTGAACATACGCTCGGACTTGTCTGAAGTAGCGGGTACACAGAAATATTTCATCATTACTATTTAATGGAAAATAATGTAGAAATATTGATCTCCGTGATGTTTTTAGAATTAGAATTTAAAATTCACTTTACTTTACGCAGATGTCAAAGTACGCTTTTTTGTGAAGCGATGCTATTACAAATTATCATAGACTATCGATAGTCTAGCACTGCAATCGATATCGGATCGATAGTGGTAAACTATCAAGAGAGTCGATAGTAATATCAATAGTTCTCCACCTCTAGTTTAAAGTAAATAAAATAACTTCCAATGCTACTCTTAACGAGGATATTGTGTTTGACAATCAAATTTGTATATCAAGCTTTCCTACAGATGACAGTATTTTTGAGCATTATTGCTCTGAATTAGTGGATCCGATTCTAAGTACAACGAAAAGTAGTAATGAGGGTTCCGTGGATAAAATCGTTCATCAGACTTCCAAGAATGAGATAGAAGACACATTCAGAACACTTAATTTTTTTTTGAAAATGAATAATACTACAACTGACGATCACTATAAGGCTTGGAATAAATTGAAATCAATTAGCTATAATTTTAATTTTTACTAAAAATAAGAAAAAAAATGAATGACTATATATCACTTCTGTGCTGTGTTTGATTTCAAATAAGTAAATATATTAAATGTATTTCTTGTTTCTTAAAAAAATTTTCTAACTCGAAGTCTCTCTCGAACATTTTCTTTGCAAAAAATAAGTACTTCGAGTTATGGAAGTTTGACTGTATATACAAAATAAAAGAAAAATGTTTAGCTTATTCACTGATAACTAAAACAATCCCATACATTCACTCTGTATGAACGTTTAATTATACAAATTAAGAAAATTTAATATTCCGAATTGAATTTAATTAGTCTTGTGATAATTACACAAAATAATTACGGTTTGGGGCGTTGTTCTCTAGATTTCAATTCTGTGCTCTTATCGTTTGCATTTTTTTAAAAAAATTTTAATATTAAATAAATTCTATGTAGACTGCAATAGTTTATTGTATTTTGTGATAAAAATGTAAAATGATAAACATTTAAAAAATATTCAGATACACAAAAACAAATATTCTAATCTGCAGATATTTATAAACAAATATACATAAAGTTATGCGGCAGCAGATAATAAAAGCTAAATTTCTTAATACATTTTTTTGGAAGAGTTTTGAATGTTTCCATATTACGTTGAAAATAATTGATACGATTACATACTATTGAAAAATGAATTTTAATAGAATCTTTTTCCAATAACTCATTTAGTTATAAAGCAAATTTCAATCTAAATTGAAAATAACAATTATTTTTAATGATTAATCTATTTTAAAAACAGATTATTTAAAAGCAGATTGCAAGTTTACATTATTATTACATTATTATCCATCCACACTATAAATCTTCTCTATGCAGTCTTGAAATTCATAAAATTTCTATCAAATGTTATTTATTGCTTTATATTGATCACATCATTTCATTTGATTAGATGACAGTAAAAAAGGTTAGGACTGCAATAGCGTAAACTTAGACTGCAAGCCTGTATTACTAATTGTAATGCAATTTGAAAAACGGCTTACTAAAGCAGCTAGTACAGTAAATTGTCACACCATTTTGAGCAACAAAACTAAAACAATTTTTCATAGAGAACGCTGTATAATACCAATAATCTTATGATAATAATAAGAACAAAATAAGAACAATGATTCTAAAGCACAGAGTACCTTCCTCCCAACTTAATTCAGGCATTTATTTCAAATCAACTAGAGTTTAGATGGATTGATAATTACCTGACTTTACAACAGGTGGCAACGCCAGAATAAAATCAATTATATTTTGTACATCTGACAAGTTTTCAACGACAAACTGTAAAACTTTCGACTTCATTAAATGTTTGGTTAGCTTTTTGCAAAGAACTGA